CGCGAAGACCGACATGGTGAAGAGACATGCTTCGCTTGGAAGGGCCTTCCAACTAAACATAAGAACAAAACAAGCTGTTTTTGGACACAGCCCTTTCAGTTGGATTGGATTTGGAGGAAAACACCTCCGCCTTCCCCCCTCTCTCTCTCTCTCCCTCCCTCCCTCTCTCTCTCTCTCTGTCTGTGCGTGGAAGGCGGACCCAAGAAATTGATGATGACTGGCCATTCTCATCCATTCTTTATGGTCCCGTCAGACATGCCAATGCAGACAGTCGTGCGTTGTTTGAGTTTCCATGTTCCGCGCTGTTCATCCCCGCCCCTGCGCAGGACACTGACGGGCAGCTGGCGTTTCCCTGGGAGAGCTTCCCTGAACGGCAGCAAGCGATGAAAGGCGGCCTTCGGGCGGCCCCCTCGGCCTTAGGGCCTTCCTTCAGGGCGGCGGAGATCCATGAATTGCATGTCCTCAACATCACCGCAAGAGCGAGGTCATGACCTTCGGGCCAAGTGTGCAAAAACCTGGACGTTGCTGTACCATCACGAAGGACAGGATCATGTGCTTCCATTGCTCGCCGATCATCTTGGGGTAACACCGGAACAATGACTGACTTGGGTCACTTGCACTGTCTTGTCACAGCCACTCCTCTTCGTTCGGACGTAGCAAGCTCCACGCTTGGATTCCAACCCCAAATGCCAGAGATCTTCAATCACCCCAGGCGGGGGAACCAAAATCCAGATAAATCCATATCTGCCAAGGGGCTGTTTTGGTTCTTTCGCTTCTTCCCCAAATTGGTGGCAAAACCCCGCGTTTGGCGCCAACTTCGCGCGCGCACGCGCCAACCCGCGCGCGAAGTAGGCCCAGATCTGATCCGTACCCTGGGCTTCTTGGGTGCAGAGGTGGGCCGGTGGGATGGAAGAGGGGCTGATGGGGCGACACATGACCAAGGCAGTGGGATTCCGAAGATGCCTTTTTTGGGGGCATTTGGTGCTTCCAGATGGTCTTCTCCAAAGATAGAGTAACATATAGTAATACCTAGATCTTCCAACTGTGCAACATTTTATGCCTTTTTAAGCTGGTTTTATGGATGAACAGGCATACATGTTGCACGTCGTTGGACGATCCAGGTATGGATTCGAGCGATTTCATGATACTCAGATGAAGGGAGATATGGAGAAGCACATCTTCACTTTCCTCGAGACGAAAGACATCTCTGCTGCATCTTGGACGCCTCATCGCATCGGTCATCTCGCATCGAATTCGTTTGGCACCCCTTTTTTTCACCAGACCGGAGAGATCTTCTTCTCAGACCATCCGGCGTCATCCGGAGTCGACAGAGACACCCGCCCCCCGTGGTCCGGCCGACGCGGGGGGGGGGCGTCCGACGGCCGTCGAAGCGCGCGGGGATGTGGGCAGAGCGCCTGCCACGGTGCAGGTGATGCAGCAGGACCCCATCAAAGCGCAGTTCATGCAGCCGCTCGGAAGAACGAAAAGAACGTGGAATTGGATGGAACTCTTGGGGACCTTGAGACATGCAAAATTTGGAAGAAGAATGGCCTAGCCCGTTCGAAACACCCAGATTGGGACCTGTGGAACGGCGGAAGGTTGCGATGACTCATGATGACCCAAGAGACGACCTTGTTTTGGGAGCGAGTGTGTGGTCTTCGAGGCACTGAACGATGCAATCACCAAGGGGATAAGGGGGTTCTGACCCATCACAGACCAATCCTACCAGGTCTTGCCATTGACATCAAGCGGCTGCCTGATCTTTGCCTTTCCGCCCTGCGCCCTCCCCCTCCAAGCAGCTACGCACCCCCTTCCTGCTTGGGAGGCAAGTGGTGAAGGAGGCGACCGATTGCAAAGTGCTGCTGCACGTCGCCTGTCAGCAGCGAGGGGAAGCAGCGAAGGTCTCAGGACGGGAAGCCGCAGCTGTGAGTACTGAGAAATGATCGATGAAAAGGATCCAGAAAAGGATTTGAATCGGTCTCTCCTGAAAAAAGAGTCCTATGATTATGATTCATATATATATATATATATGTGATTCATATGGATGTGGTCTACTTTCGTTCGTAGGGTATAGTCCTGAAGATTCCTGAAGTATTCAAGGATTTGCTTCGATGAAAGATCTTGAACGACGGCATGGTCAGACCTTTTGCTGATTTGGTTGCTCACCACGACGACCTCGGGAAAGAGGCACTCGAAGCCTCCAAGATTGCATTGTCAGACCTCAAATTCCTGCGCTCCTATGCCCTCGTGAGAGGGTAATACCTCTAGACCATTGTGAAAAGGTTTGTGGCCAGTTATATGAGATGTTACAAGCCTCAAAAACACGAAGAACTTCAACGGAGGTTGCCGGGCCCCTGGGGTGTACAAGATCCAGATCTCCAAAAAACATATTTGGCTTGAAGAACTCCAGAGGCTGTGGGGCCAGGAGCCTGAAGTACAGCGCATCCGCAGAATGGCCAGGGGTTCTGTACAGACGCTGTTGGTCTTGATCACACATGAAGGGGAAGGTAAAAACAGGCCAACATCTGAGATCCTGGAGCCATGGGAGAGGGAATCCGCAGAAACTCAATGATGCCTGAAGCTGTGAGACCCACCCAAATTCGATCATCCGTCGGCGAGATCAGCTGTGGATGAACATCGCACCACTTTCACGTGTGCCAAGGAGAAAGAGACCAAAGAGGAAGACAAGACGCGCAAGGACTAGCCCTGAAGGGAAGAAGTTGCAGCATGAGCATTCCGTCAACCCATAAACCTTGACCCCTTGCTATCAACGGGCGTTTTGGAGTCTGTATTGAGCTTGTTCGTATACCCTCTGAGGGATGAGAGGTGTCCTGGGATCTCACAAGGAACAGGACAGCGGCCCTCTTGGAAAACCCCATTTCCTCTACTGGTTGGGCCTATGCCATTCATTGAGAACCTGGTGCAGGCCAGTTTCAGACCAGTGTGACCAGAAACACCGAGAAATGCGGCGCCCACGGACGAATGGAGCGGGGGATCCGGACGACGTGACGACCGCGGACGACCAGTCGATCGGGCCGGAAACTTGCGGTCAGATTAGCATGAACACTCACGTGATAATACTCTAACTCTATAGTGCCACGTGATACGCCGTGTGGTTTCTCTTCTTGGGCTTGCCCACACCAGTGATCAGTGACACTAACGCAGGAAGTCTGGGCCGATGCGCTCTGCGTGGACGAGCGGACGGGCGCCAACCATTTGGTGAAGGCGAAGCAAGGGTAGTGTAGACTTTTGATTCACACGCATATTTCAAATGATACTGTATAGAATTAAAATTCTTAGTGTATAGACGATTTTTTTCCTTTCGCGAATATTGGATTGGTCGATTGCTCGATCCTTGGTAGACTCTTGATTCAACAAACTCCCATATCTGGTGCGACCATGAGGGTCCGCAGTGTAGCCGCGACCTGGGGCAGAACCTTTCTCTTTGTATTAAGTCGCAGGGAGATTTGTGTCTAGCATCTTCTGGCTTGCTGGTGTGCACAATGTTTATGCCAGCCACTTGGGTTTTGGAGCACCATCAAACATCCAGCAAAGAAGAGAACAAACAGTTCTGAGCTTGCGTTGTTGGTATTTCTTAGCCTTTCATGACTTTTCTTGCTACTTTCATACATGGCACAAGCCAACTCCAACCCTCCAATATTCATTTCCTCCTGCCTCCGCTGCTGTTAATAACCAGATCCAACGATCGGGTTCTGTCCATCCGCAGGTCTACCGCCGGATCGTGCGCTTTACCGAAGAGTCACTGGAAAAGTCCAAGGACCGTGGTTCCTTTCGATTCTTTTCCTTTGTCATTCATTTCTTTCAATTTCTTTCCACTTCTTATATGGATCTTGCTTTTACAATTAAGTGATCGAACACATGCATGTTGGACCTATTATGGAACTGCGTGTGTAGCTTGAATAAGGCGACCACCAACCAGCAGGTAGACTCGGCAGAACTGTCTATTTTCCTTCGTCACAGGAGGGCCTCGAGGAGGTGGAGGATTGATCTGCAATCTGACTGGCGCTGCGAAGGGCTGGTTTTTGGCCTCTTAGTCAGGAACCATGGTCTTGAGGAATGACGGGTAGAACAAGTTGGCACCCAAAAAGAACAGATAAAACAGAATGAAGCTTGAGCGACTTGGTCACAAGAGTATTGTTGTACAAGACCTTTTGGAGCCCACCAAAAGGTCTTGTTGTCTGTTTGTCGATAAAGGATTCATTGTATTGGGGGATCCACTGATAGGTCAGCACGGCCACCCTATGGTTTGATGCAGGTACGCTCTGATCATCCTTGGTTCCATCGCTTCTTTAATATTATCCAAGGATTCTCCAAGAGATTTCGATCCGAACTTTCCGTAGAACTGTGGGCTGGAAGATGTTGGAGTTGTAGCTCCGCTCAGCCCGTTTCCATCAGGTTGTTCTATGAGCCAGACGCTATTTGAGTGTGATCCCCTATGGTCGCCTATGGTTGTAAACTTCAAAGATCCTCCTAAATTAAAGCACAAACGGCACCATCGACACTCAAGTTCACCAAATGGTCGTCTGATGGACTACAGTGACTGCACTTTTTCACCCTGGAAAGGGGGCCAAGACCGTTTCTAGGACATCGAACTGCAGACAATCAGGTGGGTTTGGTACGCCATCGATGCATCAACTGCTGCGTGCGTTTTTTTCTCGAACATGCGCGCTGACGTTTTCCCGAGGGAAAACCCATGGAAAGCTGAGACCAGAGGGTGATAGAGGGTGCACATGTTGCCGAACAAGACGGGCCTGACCGTCAGAGGCCGATCACCAGGAGCACGCTGTGGTCCTGCGCCAGTCTAAAGATGTGGCCATTGTACATAGTTCGCGGTGGTTCAGGCCGCCCAAAACCGTCTTCGCCGACTGTGCAGGGGCCGAGACGGCCGAGACGGGGCCGAGACGGGCCGCGGGGTTCGTTGTCCTGGATGGGCAGTCCGCTTGATTGGTGCTCGTTGCCGGCTTGATTGGCGCACACAGGTGGTGCTGCCCAGGCCATCGCTGCAGATGCCCGGGTGCCCCAGAAGTCATCACTGAAATGGGGGTGCAAGACAGAGCTGCGGTCGAATCGAGGAGGATCAGGGAAGCTCTCCAAGACACCCGGGCCTTGGAACGTTTGGGTGCTATTTTTTGATGATGTTTGTTTTGTTTTACTTTTCTAAACCCAGTTGATCCATAATTTTCTATCACCCGCAGATGCGTGAGAGAAGGTACATGGATTGATAAGGTTGTTGGTCGTTCGGACACCCGCACAACACCAACCCACCCCCACAAGTTCGCAGAGGAAATGCTCATCCTTTGGATTGTGTGAGTACAGCACCGGTTAAGAGAAGGAAGCCAGTGCATCTTCTTCCTGACAGTACAGAGGTTTTAGGCTTCTGGGTTTTTCTATTCGCACAAAGATGCAAGTCTTGTTCATCTTGAAAAAGAAGGTCCCGCGCGTACTGGTAACCACGTACTGGTATATACCTCGGAAGCTTCTGAAGCTGCAGGTCTATTCTGTCTGAAGCTTCTTAGCTGCGGGTCTAAGGAAAATGGACAATGATTCCCCCACGTACTGGTACCTTCATGTCGAGGTCACCTACTGGTACCAGCCCCAGCCCACGACCTACAGGGACCTCTAGCCAGGACACCCCTTGAAGCTCCAGGTAGGTCACCACCGTCGGCCCGACCGTGTAAACAGGCGCCGCGCGTGGCCTTGGCCGCCATGGGCACGCACGGCGCGAGCGCGACGGTGGGGACGATAGAGCAGGGAGCGGTGGGGCGGTCGCGGGCGACGGTTGGAGAGGTGTTTTTCTTGTTCGTGTTTACGATATATTGAATAGTAAGTATTCCTGGTTCTTCCAAGTGACCTTTTGATAACCTGGTTTGAGGCCACTTAAGCCTCCAAAGGGTCACTTAGGAACCTTCAAAAGGTCACTTTGAAGAAGCTGGTTGGTAGAAAATGCACCTCCAGGTTTCCTGGCAAAGGTCTTCTTAGTTTGTTTTTGTCTCTGTTGGGTCTGTCCTATTACCTGTAACAGTCAGTAAGCAATTATCACTATTTTTGAACAAGGCCTTTACTAACCATCATCATCATCCATTTTTACAGGTATTACATAGGATAGACCCAATGTCTCTGCATGTTGTTCTCCAGAGGCTTGGGTTGTGGATGATCATTTTGAGGCAGAGAGTGGAGAGTGGAACACGTCTGGATGATCATTTGTCCCGCATTGCCGCACAAAAAGTGGCGTATAAAAAGTGGCTGAAGAGCCGGTGGTTCCTTTTCCTTATCCCGTAACTGTAACTCTCCGCGCCACTCGTCTGTCGCATTGGAGTCGTGGCCCATTCCCAGACGCGACCCATGGGACTGCCATAGGACTGCCGATCAGGCCAGGGGTGGTGCCATGAGGGGTCAATGTAGGCATATATGGCAGTCCCATGGAGTGTCTGAGATTGATTTCATAGAGGTGAGTCCCAAACAACCAGCTGTTTTACTATATGTTTGCACTACGAAGTACCCAGATCGTTTCCATTTTAAAGCCTGGTCAGAGAACCGGACTTCCAGGCCAAGAGTCTTTTTCAAGAATCTGGACTCGATCCAAGGGGGTTCTTCTACGTTTGGACGGGGGGGGTCGAAGCTACATATAGTTGTCTCCGAAAAAGCAACGCACTTTCCAAAGAACTTAGAAGACGCGGTTGAAGAGAAGGTTCCATTTTCCTCTTCACGCCTCTCAAGTTTTCGGAAAAACTATTTGTGCTACAAAAGGCAACCTTTCACCATCCCTATGTTTCAGAATCTCGGCTTTTTGCAGGTCCTTAGCGTTCTTTTCTTGACATGCGGCCGAAACTTTTGCCGGATTGAGGTCCGGCATTTTTCCCAATGCGTCTAGATCTCTACACTTTCTGCTTATAGACCTCACACACACACTGTTTGGGATCTCTTGCCGGGATCATTTTCATCTCAAAGGAAGATCCACTTATGTGGAGCCATGTGGAGCCATGTGCACCCATCAAGTCACCATCTCGCAGTTCACATCGCGGGGCCGATGTGGCGGTGGTCGTTCTACATGTCCGGTGCATGGACATGTCTCAAGTTGAGGAAGTCTCGTGGGCAATCGTTTTGGGACGCCAATCACCGATCAACATTGGGACGCCTCGTCTCGCATTGAAGCTGTACTGTTGCGGAGAGAGAGCCAAGTGCAGCTTCTTGCGGTGCAATTGAGCCTGCGCGGAGCAGGCTCAGAACTGGCCACTTCGGGGAGTAGCTTAACAGGCTGATGTAGTACGGGGAGTAGTTTCTGCATGCTTCTGCGACGTAACGAATTTTTGATTGGCTACTTTGTCGTGTTTACCACGTGTAGTGGGACACTTGGCTGTTTGGATCCCCTCAGAACTGGCAAGGCAGTGCACAGAGCGCAAATGGCGACCACGATGTGTCGGGTACCGCGACGTGGGGTCAAAGCCGCGACGTGCGGGGCGAGGCCTCGGTGGAGCTCCGGCGCGCCGACCGGCGGGTCGGGAAAGACCTGCGTGAGCAGCATAGTAGTTGGCGAAGAAATGACGTGTGTGTATCGTAGTTTCATCACGAAAGGTAGCGGTTACGCTACCTGAGTTTTCCTTTTGCTTTAGCAAAAATGTATTAACCCAGAGCTGCAGCCTATCTCTCGGAGAAATGGTCCCCGACATCTTCGTTTGCTGGCCGGGGGCCCCCCCCCCTTTCAACTCCACCCTAGCGCGCCTCGGGGTCAACCGTTCGAAAACACTGTAAATATCAGTGTTTTCAGCTCTTCCAGTCCTCAGCAGTGACAAAAAATCATGGAATTTACAGCGTTTTTTGTGGCTGTCTCGCAAAAAACACCGCAAAAACCGATGGTTTTTGATGCGTCTCGGTTAGAAAAATGACCGAAAAAAGACCAAAAGCCAGGAAAGATTTTGTCAGAAAGGGTTTTTGAGGCTTTTGGAGGCTTCAAAATTGCACAAAACTATGGTATTTACAGGGTTTTGTGCACCTTCCCGGCAGAAAACGCCGGTATTTACACGGTTTTCTGCGCTTTTCCAGCGCTCAACCGTGGTGCGCCTTTGGATCGACGGCTACAAAATACCGTAAATACCAGTGTTTTCAGCTCCTCCTGTCTTCAAGCATGGCCTTAGACCTTGCCGCGGCTGTGGATCGACGGCAACGAAACCTCGTAAATACCAGTGTTTTTGAGCACGTCCTGTTTGCAAGCATGGCGTGCGGCCACGCAATTTACAGGGTCGCCGCACGTCACTATGTAAATCCGAAGTTGCATTTGAGAAATATGTGACTCCTTTTGAAGGCACGTCAACCTGTATTGAAACCGCTAGACCGCTACAGCTTCTGGAGGTTTTGTCAAGCGTTTGTGCATTAGTCTTTCTTTCATCACGCTCACTCACTTCTCTTCAAACAAGTGGGGGCCTCTCACCTCCTCCCGGATTACGCCTGATTCCCTGCTACCTTTCGTTCACCCCCCTCCTCTCTCAAGTCTCGCGTGTGAAGAGAAGCCGGGCAGAAAGGGACTTCGAAAGAAGAGAGATGTGAAGAAGGGGTGTCAGGAGGCGCCAGGAGTGGAGACAGCAAGAGGACGGTCAAGAGAAAGGGATCTGAAGAGGAAAGGGACATCAGGAGAAAAGAGATGAGGAGGAAGGAGTGTCAAGAGGGATGACGTCGGTGAAAGAAGGTTTCCAGAAAAAGGGGCGTCAACACTGGGACGCCTGAGACCAACTTGCCCCAAGTTCAGGTTTGCCACCTCATTCCATAGGCATATTTTTCTTTGCTCCGATAGGCCTATAGGCCATTGTTTTTGAAACCCTCCCAGCGGGTACCACGCCTGGGTACCAGTACCACTTGTAATGATGTGGGCCCTTCATGGGCCGACCTGCAGGGCATCCACGCACAGCTTCAACAAATGCCAGACACGACCCGCCGAGACTGCCAGCCACTGCCGGTCGAAATGGCCAGCCCCCCCCTTTCGCGGTGACCGAGACACTCGGCAGTCCTGGCTGTCCCGTCTATACGGGTCGTGTCTGGAGTCTGGCTTTGTCGGACCGATCGAGTTGGAACCGCTAGACCGAGTCGTGTTCAACCTGTGACCAAGTCCAGTCAAATGAGATTGCCTAGGTGTTTTTGGACCGACCCGCTGTGCCACTTCAACACGTCAACGTCGCCCCAGGTGCAGGTGCTATCCTCAGAGGTCCTTCGGCTGCTGGTCGAGCACGGAGAGGCGGTGGCGACTGGGAACTGGGAACTGGCTGTTGTTGCGTTAAAGAACACCCGGGGTTCAGGTTTTCATCCTCCGAACTAATGCATGGAGGACAGCAAACATAATCAAGGTCATTAGAACCTCGAACTCGACAAAAGTCAGCTAAGGACTCGAGCAAACCAAGTCGCTGATCCTCACTTTTGTGTATCTTGAGTCTCGCCCCACCAGCCCCTCAGCATCCAAAAACACACATCGAAGATTCCACACGATTTTGGACATACCAGCAGTTTAGGTGGGTCAGGTCACCGAACGTTCGGCTATCCCATTCCCAGGTCCATGTGGGTTCCAGTTCCGGTCATGACCACGGTGAAGTCTTCCGATGACCTGCTTGGCAGGTGCCCCTCGACGAGGCCGCCGAGGCGTTTTTGGTGCTGGGGGTGAAGCTCCGAGGGTGTTGGGGGGACCGGAAGAGGCGAAGAAGGATGGCTTTAAGGTGAGTAAGTTCATCAACAAGAGGCGATGTCATTCAGTGTTAAGAATCTTCTATTTGTAATATTTTGTAATGATCATTTAAACCCAGTCTAGGGCCATTTTTTGTTGGAGTGTCACTTTCAACCATGAGGACCGTAGGACCGTGTCCCGTGTTCGGCGCGGCACGCAGCGGTCGCAGCAGGCGGCGGTGCGCGCGAAGCGGCTCTTCCCCGCGGAACGCCGGGTGCACATGGCAGCCGATCGGCTGTTGAGTGTGGCTCCCAAGACATGGTGAGTTTGGGCGCCTGAGTTGCGGAGTTGTTGAGCTTTTTTCCACAGACTTGCGAGTTGTTGGGTTAAAAAGTCAATGGTGACTAGTGACTATGGGTTGGCTACACAATACAATATACTGAATTGAAGTACTTGTGGGCATCTCGAATCGATAACGCAACATGCCCATTTCGGATACATCTCTCCACGCGCTGTGCTTGCGCGCTTAAGCGAGTGCGGAGGTGTGTGCACTGTTGGAGTTGTTGGGCCACGCAGACAGCTGTAGATAGTGGAGAACCTGGACAGAATGAAAGGGCCACTTCTGACAATGAGGGGATTCCTCCAACACCTGGATTAAACACCATTGGTTTGCGTTCCACTTCCGGAGTGTTTTTTGTTTGGCTTCCAATGTGGCACCAGATTTTGAATGGGCAAGCTGCATGGTGAACTGCGAATCGAACACCACCTCTGTGGAGTTCGCTGCAAACATTCAGTTTCACATCCTTATCATGCTATTGTTGAAGCTTGATGCAGAATTTTCCTTTGGGGCATTCAAGGACTTTCATCCATGTACTATGACTTCCGTCATCCACGTCTGCAAAGTAACTCCCAGACGCTCCATGGGACTGGTATAGATGCCGAGAAACGGCCAGGGGTGGTGCCATGAGGGGTCAATGTAGGCATTCATATATTGCATACATGGAGCGTTTGGGGATGTCAACACACCATTTTCCATGGGGATCCCATGCAGAACGGATGTTTCATTTTTTCAGGCGGGGTGGCCAGGTCCACTACGCCCCCCCCCCACCATCTATAGATTATTGGGAGTATTCCTGGAGTATGTGAGGATTGGACAAAATCTATGGTTCAGGTCGCCCCCCTGGTTGATTCAGAATGGAAAGAGGAAGGGGGGTGACCCTGACCTTTTTCGAAGAGGTAGCCAGAGATTTTGTCCGTCACTCATATAGAATACGGACAAGTGGAAAACCCATGGGCATTAAAACGGTGTTTCGGATTGGTACATATTCATATACGTCTTCTTGTTCGATAGCCAATCATACCTAGATCTTCTAACTATGCCAAATTTATGCGTTTTAAGCTGCTTTTATGGATGAAACGGCAGGACATTTGGCATGGTTGGAAGATCTAGGTATAGTCTCGGATTGCCCATGAAATCTCATAGGTCGCCATCCATCTCTGAAAAATGGCCACACTCCTCAGGTGTTTCGCTGGATTCTCGACTCCAGACACGACAGAAACGGAACTGCCGGGTGGTGGATTGACCCGGGGTCGGTGACCGTTTCGACCGGCAGTTCCGTCCCAGACGTGTCGCGTCTGGGTACCCCCTGTTTTGCTGGGTACCCCCTACTCCCTGTGTTGGTTTCGTTGGTGCATCTGGGTACGCCCCTACTGAGCTCTCCCATCGCCCCTCCGGTCCGCCTTCGCCAGGCTTCGCCGTGCCGCGCTCCGCCCGAGCCCAGAAACGTACTCCGGTGGTGGTTCGTTTGGTTCGGTGGATCGTTTGGGGGTTTGTTTCGGGCTTGTTTTGGGTTTGTTTGGTGATTCATGGTAGAAATGTCCTGAACTGACCATATTAGCCAGTGACCGGTTCCCAACGTTCACCATTGGCGGCCAGTGGTCAAACAAGGGCCGCGTTGCATCGTGCATTTTCGAGTAGCAAACCTTTTTGGGTGTAAACTATGTAACCGGACGGAACGGGGGGAGCGACTGTGTGCACGGGGTCATGGAGTCATCTTGTCGTAATAGAGTAGGATTCCCAGCAGTTGTGTCAGAAGATATGATATACACTCCCTGAAACGGTCATTCATGGACGTGAACATCTTCCGAATACCAAAGAGGTGGTTTTCACTCCACTTCCATGATTTCAGAGAGTGTACCGATATTTGATATTTGTGCACACAGTAACACTAATCCCCTACCTAGTGCTCTAGTGCTCGACGGCTGGCTGAAGCAATCGACTGCCCAATAGGACGTTTGGAACTCGGATTTGCTCCGTTGTAGTCATCAATTCGGACTGTGGGTTACAGTACCTGGGCCATACACAGCATCTTGTGAGCTTGTGGAAGATTCTCCGTTGCGCCAAGGCTGCCTGCATTGGTACTTTGATGGATGCTTCGACCAGAGATGCAACTTGACCTGACGATAGTCAGGTGAGGTTTTGTTCAAGAGTTTTGAGTGTCCATCTTCCGTCTACTCCAGGATGACTGCAAGCGATCAAAACTCATAATACCCCCCAAAACAGTCCCAAAAACTACTCCTCGAGAAGCTAAGCTGAAGTTAGGCATTTTAAAGGCCCTCAGAATGGATCCGAGTTCATAAGAGTGCTTTCAGATGAGCTGTCGAAGCATAGACTGGCAAAACGAGGACATCCTATCTGAAGCACCAGACCAGAGAGGCTCAGATGTTAGAGCACACCGATACTTGTTCCCACAGGCTATTTTTGGTTAAGGTAAAATAGTACAAGACAAGATCCTCCACAAATTAACACTATCACTATAGAATGCCCAACCCCTACCCATAATTCCCAAGGGGGCAGTACAAGAATGTACAACATAAGAAAAACACCCGTGGTCCTGGGCCTTCTGCAGATTCCTCCCCTCCGCCCCTCCTTTGTTCCGTCTCAGCGAAAAATCCGCCGAAAAGGAGATGGCACAGCGGAGTGGCATTTGCAGCCTGGGCACCGAACGTGAGGGCGGGATAGGGCGGGTGAATTGGGCTCTTTGGTGCACTATGGTGCCTTGAGAGACAAACTTGAAGATCGTTGAACCCGGTAAATTTTGGAAGTTGAGGCTGAAGAGTTCTATGTGGTTGATAGATGTTGATAGACTCTATTTACTAGGACCTTCCAAGAGGTGGTTTTTGGACACCCCTTAACTTCCCTCAACATCTATGAGGCTACTCAAAGACACCTCTTGGAGGGTCCTGGTATATGTCTTGGATGGATTCTGCAGAACTCCCTGTAATCTCAGAGAGTTTGAGGGCCTAAAAGCCACCCCAACAGTAACCAAAGCCAACCACTCCCAAACACCAACCGGCTCCCAAACGGACATGTTCAGCTTTTGGGCACTTCGATCCTTTGAGGAGACTCTCCATCCTCACCCTCCCCCCTGACCCTCCTTCCCGTCCGACCCAGCAGCCCCTCTCGGATCACCGTCACCCTCCTTTTCACTGCGTTGTCACACCGCACGGGGGCAAAGCGTCGCGAGGTCTGGGCCACTTGGCCAAGCACGGTGGTGTGGCCTGGCGTTTCTTGGCGGCCTGGTGCGCGGATCTACCGGAGCAGTGCCGTTGAGGACTTTTGACTATAGGGTCGAACGTATAGGAACTCTATACAGGGTTTCTAGAGCCTATCTGGTTTGAGGCTGGGTCTTTGTTTTCTTTCTCGCACATGTCCACCCGTGGGGATGAACTCAGGTGGTGCTGGCACCGTGGCGGTGAACCGCATCTTGCGGGCCTTGCAACATCACAAAGGCGCGCACCGGTGAACGGCGCGCCGCTCCGCACGGGGCGCGACCACCAAGTGGTACGCCGCCCCATGGGCCCCCTGGAGGGTGTTGCTGGTATGGGTCACTTCATGTTGCTTCATGCACAAGCGAGCCCTGTACCAAGCATGGTTCAAGCGACTTCTCATCCTTCCGTGCTTCTCATCCCACCCAACACGCCGCACTCCTTCCGCAGCCGTCGCGCCTCGCGGCCGGGCGCCTCGGTTCTGCCCGTTTCCGCCGAGGCAGTGCAGTGCTCCAGGCGACGGGCTTGTGGGCGCTGGGACGCCTGGCAGAACGCGTGGAGCCCAGCCAGGGCGGCATGCAGGACGTGGTTGGAGCGTTCCGCGCGTCCGCCCGGCGATGGAGAGCGTGGTCCAAAGCGCATTGGTGCGTTGGAACAGCGCGTTGTTTGGGCGGCTGGGTTTGTGTGTTGTGGAGAGGGGTGGAGTGCCTTTGGCACAAAGGTCGGTGTTGAGGGAACTCCAATGACATGTGAAAGCCCAAGGTTCTGACAAGCGAAGAAGTCTGAACACGTGAAGAGGGTGACAGCTTGAGTTGGTGCTATTTTTGTCCAGATATGCAGCGCCCCGACCCTCAATAGAAAGACAATAGGTGACTGCAAGCGATGTGCCAAAAACACGACCAGTTGACTGCCCTCCCGCCTCTCTTCTCTGGCCAAATCGCATTTCTACAAGCTTCTTCTGGGGGGATTTTATGCAGGAAGTGCCGAGTGCCAGCCTGTTATGGTCGCTTTCCCATCATCTCTGCACGAGCAGAACGACGACCCGAATCCTGCAGGACGCAGCTCGACGTGCCAAAGAATGGCATCCAGAGAGTGCGCTGGTACAGCGCCATGCAGTCCGGGTTCCTGCATCGCCTCGGTGGTTCTTCTGGTGGGTTCAGCTCCAATAGCTTCTGGGAACGACCACTTCTGTAGTGCCAAAATGCCTAGGAAAAAACACCAGCAATCACAAGGTTAGGGGTGCGGGGTGCTTCATGGAGGTAGTCGGGGTGCCCAGAGCATCACATCCACTCACGTAAGGCAACTCCCGAGCTCTGTGACTCCTGGAGATGTCTTCGGGATTCAGGCCTCTTCAATCAGCCGGTTGAAGTCCAGCTTTCCAACCTTGTGTCCCTTAGCAAGGTACTTCATGGTACTCCCCCCTCCCTAGCGTTTGGACTCCGTGTTTTTTCAGCAGATGTCGCAGATGATCATCCTTGGCTGCTGTGGCAACCAACGTCATAAGCCAGGGGGGACCCCGCTTGTAGCTCGGTCGTAATAAGGTTTGGGATGCTGAAGACCTCCTCTTCGCTGAGGATGACCTCATCGGTTTTCTCCAAAGACGAGACGCGCACTGAGCGGCTAATGATTGGCTAATGGCCTCGCTGCCCCTGTAGGGCTTTCAAAGCTTCAGAGCCCAACAGCAAAGGATGCAGCGTAAAAAACACAGGACCCTGCGGAAATAAAAGCACCGGAAACTCAGACTTGGTCACGGATATCTGACAAAAAGTTGTATGATCGCTTCGAAATGGCTCAGGGTTCACATTGAAGTTTAAGCATTGTTTCTTTTGTCACATCCATGCAGCACACCAAGACACACCCCAAGTTGCTGGGAAGACCTCCTCAAGTCGCTTGCGGAGAAGCTTGACCTCCAGCGAACACACACACATACACACACACACACACACTTAGATCAGTGCTCGCACGAGCTATATCAGTTGCGACATGTTGCGACATCCCCGAGAGCTAGTTACTGTGTGTTGTGGGTCGTGGCGATTGCGGTTGTGGTTGTTGTCGTTGCTGTTGGTTCTCGTTGCTGTTGTTGTGGGTTGATCCGAACTCGAGCTCGAACTGGTCCACCCCCCCTTATAAGTCCCTTAGTCGCCGATCCGAACTCGATCTCGAACTCGAACTGGTCCACCCCCGGCCGGCTCTAATTGTTGTCGATCCGAAATCGAACTCGAACTCCAACTCGAACCGGTCCACCCCCCCCAGCTCTATAATCGTGGTCGATCCGAACTCGAACTCGAACCGGTCCACCCCCCCCCGGCTCGATAATTGTGTTGTCGATCCGAACTCGATCTCGAACTCGAACTCGAACTGGTCCACACCCCCCTCTCGCTCGATCCACGCAATCTCGCGCATCGAACTCGAACCTGAACTCGAACTTGAACTCGAACTCGAACGGGATCAGTTAGAACCACCTGGGGCACGGCCTGGTTTTCTTTGAATCTTTTGGCTCCAGGCGACCTCATTATGGAGGTCCCACAACTCATCAATCAACTGAATGCCCTTGCCCAATTTGGTAGGCTCACAGTCGCTTGATGCCGCTGCTGAACGGGCACGGTTCACTGCAGGCATGGCTCAAGAACATTCCAGCAAATGCAACAGGCTGGGGGCACAAAACAGACTCAAAGACTGGCAGCAGATGCAGCAATACAAAGTCTAAGAAGGTTTGAACTCAGTGACAATTCAATGTCTTCAAAAATTTCACAAATTCAATCACCTCAACAGAACCTCTATGACAAACAAAAATCAACGCACAAGACAAGATGCCCATTCCCGTGCCCACTCAGGCAGTGACTCACCAAGGATCTTGATGCCATCCACCAATGAGCTTTGTTGAAAGCTGGCAAGGAACTGTGCTCTGTTCTGTCACCCAGCAACCTGCTTGATTTTTAGTTGCTGATGCATTGAACACAACTTCTTTGTTTGCTGCTTGCAACACTCCTTTGTTTCCTTTTCATGAACACCATAGTCAAAGAAAGTCAAACGCTACTTACTGCACAGCCTTTACAACATTTAGCATGGGACACCAACTTGTGACCCTCAGGAATCCGGCCCCTTAGCCACGGCCAGAGCCTTGGCCATAGCCACATGGGCTGCGTAAGAGAGTTCTTGGAAGCCACGGCCAGCCGCTACATGACCGGTGCGCCGCGACTGGGCACCATGCGGGGAGCTCGTTAAGGTGAGAGTTGCTACCACCCGACCAACATGGGTTGTTCGCCCATTTGTTTAGAGGCTATCCCAGTTGGGTACCTCAGGTTACGAATCCTATCATTGATTAAGGTCACTTGTAACCTCTCTTGGGAAGGAAAAGGACTCAGGTCGCTTGTGGTGTGCTGGATCTGATTGAGCTGATCGACCACCAGTTCGGGCATTTGGGAAAATCCTCGAGATTTTTCGGTCACCTTTCAGTCGGACCAGTTTTGGAATGTCTTGGAATTGGTCCAGGACCGACTTCCAAGCACATACCATCCACACTCCATCTGACCAGCAACCTTCCCACCTAGTTACACCTCCTCCTTTCACACCAACAGAGGTCTTTCAGGACCCTTTTCAGTGTTCGATACTAGTTCGACTATCCCATCGTTCGGTACTCCTGGACTGAAGCTCTCTGGCAGGTTCTGCCGGGCTGGCTGGATGGAGCAGCGTGAACTCGCCTGACTTGTGGGGAGCAGACGGACAGACACACCGTGAACGCCAGAGTACTGCCGTCAGTGGATGAATCTGGCCCAAGAACTGAGCCGTTTGCGGGACCCGGGACGCCGAGTTTCTCGTGGATTAGGCGAAGGGAAGGAGAAATACATGGACCACGCTGACTTGTCCTGGGGCCCTGAAGCTGGGTGTTTTGTTATTTTTTGCACGTGGAGTGTCCTATTCAAAAAGCCGATGATACGCCGCCGCCGAATGCGACGGTGATTGGCCGAATCCTCCCAGTCGACGATGCACCAGCTTCGTGTTCACCAGTCCATGTCCAGTCCTCATAGTACTACAATAGTATTGCTAGTCCCATGTCCTCCTAGTGTTCTGCTTCCACCTTCGTGTTCCAGTCCTCCACGTCCTCGTAGTGATGTCTGTGAAGAATGAGTACAGTGAAACACATTTTTGGGGCCTCTTTTTGTGGCCAGTGTGCTGGTACAACACCGGTTTCAACTGGGATAGCCGATATAGCCTATATATGGGCTTCTGAACAACCTCTGTCAACCCAGACACATGGCAGCTGAAAAAGAACCTCTCTTCGACCTCCCAGCTGCTTCGGGCTCGAGATCCTCTAGACCCTCATGAAGTCTGAACACGGTCCCGTCCTTCGCCGGTCCAGCGCCCTCTCCAACACGGTCAGGAGATGGGTGTGTAGCGAACAAATAGGGAGACCTTTTGGCCCCCGGTGTAGGCGTGGCGACCTCCCCAGGCGTGGCAACAGTGTACCAAACCGGAACATCGACCAGTCTACCCAGCGAGAAAGGGATGAAGTGGCGAGAAAGGAGAGTCTCCTGGATCCATACACACTCATATGAGATGAGGGGACAAAGGAGTGACCCAACGGGGTGGTCTGCCACGCCCCGCTTTCTTTTTTCCTCATCCGACCATTTTTGTTCTCGCACCGAGGTCGGCAAGGATGCTGCGCGACTGCTTGGGGGAGGTGCAGGCGGAACCCGGGGGCTTCTGTTTTCACTCAAGCTAGGCTTTTGTCACATAAGGCTTCTCACCCACCCCTAAAAGAAAGACAACATGAAAGGATGGGGACTTCCGCTTTTGCCGAAGGTGACAGGTCCATCAGTGTTTAACCCATCGCCATTTTGGGCCTCGAAACAGATCCAGCAAGACGTGGTGAGAATGTGGTTCGACCAAGTGCGCACAACACACGCCTTTTATTTTTTGCGAACACATCGATTGATGGATGATTAATGTTGTTTTTCATTGTTTTTCTAAAAGAATCAATCAACATTGTAACATCGATCTGTCCTCTTCTTGCTTTCCTAAAGACTTCTTTGACAATTCAATCATCATCGACTGAGTTCGGATCTTTGGAAGGTTCTTGTTCGACCTCACCTCAACTGCCCCCCCCCCCCGCAGACTCGGCACCGAACCAGCCGAACCGCCCAGGCTGAACCGCCCAAATCCGCCAAACGACCGGAACGGAGAACCTCGATCGGTTCCGCGCTCGCTCGGGGGTCCGAGACTTTTGCCGTCCGCGACGCGAAGCTCGGCACGTTCGGCGCCCTCCGCGCGCAGCGACCTCCCTTGGCTCCAACGACCTGCTTTTGTCGATGTTGCTCCACTTTGATGGGCTGTGTGTTTAGTAACAAGTTAACTTATTTAAGATAGTTAGTTAATCATTTAATAATCAATTAACAAATTAGCTAAATGATTAGCTAATTGGTTAACTAAATGATTAGCTAAATGATTAGCTAAATAGTTAACTAAATAAAACAGCGATTTTCTGATCATAAAAACAATAATCTGGCAAGTGAAACTGCATACGCACTACAGGTGAAACACTGCATTGCACATGAATTCTTGCCATATAGCAAGTGCCAGCATGCAACAACAAAACAATAGTGAAGCCATGAACAGGCTCGCATTGTTTCCATGAATTGGCAATGCTGATTGCATGAAAGGCCTGTGATGGCTGCATGAAAAGCTTGTAATGGCTTGCATTGTGACCATGAATTGGCAGTGCTGATTGCATGAAAGGCCTGTAATGGCTGCGTGAAAACCTTGCAATGGCTGCGTGGAAAGGTTGGGCTGGTTGCATGCATTGCAAGCATAGCTTGTAATGGTTGAAGGTTCCATGAATTGGCATTGCTGATTGCATGAAAAGCTTGTAGTGGCTGCATGAAAAGCCTGCAATGGTTGCAAGAAAGGCCTGTATTGGCTGCATGGAAAAGCTGGGCTGTTTGCATGACTTGCAGGACTGGGGTAGAGTCTGCACAAAGTCAATATTGCTAATGGAAAACACACCAAGTCTAAAGCAGGCCTTGTTATCTCCATGGTAATGGAATCAGGGTGGTGATCTTTGCACCACTTTGAGCATAGAGGCAAGGTGTTAAAACCTGCACAAGGAAATTGCAGCAGATTGGTAAGCAAAGCTTTGCCATACAGCATACTCATTCCTTGCACCAATTTCCAAACATTCAAACAAAGATACCAAACACATGGGTTGCCCAGCATCTAAATGCAATTGAAGTTTTCCAGCAGTCCACTTCCTGGTGCCATGTGCAATGTCCCGCAAGACAACATCACCTTTGGAGCAAGTCACACCATGCTTCAGCCAGGCTACTTGGCTTGTAGTGACCAAACCAACATTGACAAGCGGCGATAAATGCTGCACTGTGCCAACCAGCTTGGAAGGCAGCTTGTGGGGCTTCTTGAGCTGGTACTCCAAGGCAGCAAAGGGGGTATCAAGGCTCAAGACATTGAGCTCTTTTGCAGTAACCTCTTCCATCACACTTTGTTCCAGCTGCCTTGTGTTGGCAATGGCATTGCCAATTCTGGAAATGAACCGATGCTTCCTTTCCATGGCCCAGCATGCCACCATGATATTGTGATTCCTGAAAGCTTGGCCCAAATGCAA